TTAGCTATCAGTAGAAATATACCTGTAGAATAATTAGAACATCACAATTCATGTACACGTGCATGAGTACTCAAGTATTATGACATTCACACTTTTAACGAGCAGATAGTGTAACAGAGCAACTGAAAACAATTTTTCAGGTGCTGTTGACAATGGACCTATAAAAAAAATGCATGAATTGTAATACAGTAGAATACTTTATTTTAGCTGGAATTATTTTTTGCTGAAAAGACATTTTGGGTATTTTGTATGGAATTTATTTTTACTGATTTTTGAAGTTGAATGTAAAATACAGGAAAAAAGGTAAATTCGCTGGATTTTATTTTCACTGAATCACTCCTTCAGCAAAAGTTAATTCCAAGCGAAAATAAAGTATTTTACAGTACCGGGGGGTATTGCTTAAATCCTTACATTGGGAATCACTTGCCGTTTTACAGGGTTTTCCAGGGCATTGCTGCACGCCTGCTAGGACAACACATCTATAGGCAGTGACAAGTAATTTTTATGGTTTCATGGCCAGAAATTTATGTAAGCTTCCACCCATCTGCCACAAAATAATCTAAAATCACAATCAATTCATCAATATTTTCAGATGAATCACAATGCAAATATGACCATGACTTGCTTCTGAAGCTGATAGGGACATGTGGTGCTGCAACAATATGGCACATTCCTTTGAATTAATCTCTCAGAAAACTAGTGTTGGTAAAAACAGTGCAACAATGGCATAATTCTTTGGAATTAATCTCTCTGATAAACTGGTGTGAAAGAATTCTACAAAAGTATCATTAACATATTAGTTGTGTTCACGTTACACGAAGTACGGGCTAAGATTTAAGCTGATTTAGGCTTATCTAGCATATTTGCATTTCGGCTAGACCCAATTGCGTCCACGCACAGGGAGGGCCAGTCATTAGCACGGGCTAAGGGGTGCAATTAGTCGGTGACCTTTGGTAATCCGCTATTTACGAACGAAAAAGGATGACACGCGCGAGGTTCTATTTCTGCTGCTGGCATGTTTCGTTCTAATTTTGAAGCGACGTGCACAGGAACGT